TTGTGAATGGATGATGATGTATATTTGGGTTATGGATGAAGCTTATAGGTTAATTGAATGTAATTTTATCTTTGGATGAATGTAGTTAAGGCTTTGATTTAGCCGTTTGAAAGTTTAATGATGTAATTTCATTTTTTCCATTGTATTTCAAATTGTAAATATTTATTAAAGCCATGTAATCTTTATCAAATGATGTTATGAAGCTTCAAAAAGGTCCAAAAGGGTTAAATTAAACTTCAGCAATTTTCTGGAATTTTTCCAGAATTTTTCAGAATTTTTCTGGAATTTTTTGGGCTTAATCTAATTTTCTGGAATTTTTTGGTTGTTTTCCGGTGGCCGTAGGCTCGTCGGTACGGTGCGGCACACAACCATACCATACAACTGGATCCATAACCGCTGGATAAAATCAAGGAGAGAGGATATTATCCCATGCGGCGCGGCACTGGTGCAATCAGCACCTTTTGATCCAGTTGGTGCGTGTGCTGACTGGTCAACGCGCGTGGCAACGCGCGTGCCACGTGCTCATTGCTGTCACCGGTGCGTGGCAGCGCATGAAGGCGCGTGCCATGCACCTATTGCTATCCCCAATGCGTGCCAGCGCGTGGGGATGGGCTGCAGCATTCCCCAGGCGCGTGCCAGCGCGTGTGGGGCCCTCCGGATGCGTTCCAAGCGTCGTTTTACTTCTCCAAGCGCGTACCAGCTCCCTACAGATGATTACAGACTGTTGAAGGACGCCCATACAGCAAGAATAGTATTTAAATGTTAAAAGCTAATTCTATTGGCCATTTAATTTGCTTCTGTCTGTTGTTTAATTATTTATGTGATGCATGGAATAATTATATGCTAATTATTATTATTGTTCATGCATTGGATCCATGATTTTTTTATCTAAATGACTTGATTTATATTAATTAAATTATGAAAATTTAATTGGATTTGACTGGTAATTATTTTGAGGTCATTTATTGGGAAACGAAAAATTATTTTTAAAGTGTGCCTCAAATTAAATATTAGTGAATCATTTAAAAGTTCAGATATTTTCTAAATTTAATTGGATTAAAATCAAGGCATTTTTTATGCATTAAATCATTAATTGAAAACCCTAATTATAAATAATTAAAAATTGGGTGGGAGCAGGGATTTTTATACATTACCCCATGGCCTTCGTTATTATAACCATTGTGATTAGATCTTTAAAAATAAAGCCCCACGCATGACTTAAAGAGTCTAGATTACAAAAATGGTTGTTTCAAGAAAATATATTTATTAAATGTCCATTTTAGTTAGATCTTTAAAAATAAGGCCCTACGCATGATTTAAAGAGTCTAAGCTAATAATGGCAATATATTTAATTTTTTATTTTTCGTTGGAGTATTAATAATGTTATACACTCAATCTAAAATCAATAGTATTAGCTTCTGAATGGAGTGGTCTATACTAGGTGATTTTAGAAAGGGTAAACTAAATCGGGAATTATTTCATATATAGATAAGGCATTGTCTAAAGAGATATGGAAATAATGAGTTTTTCTCGTCAATAAGCAATAATGAATTCTGCCAACCGGATAAGTTATTGGCATATTGATTGTCCGATTTTTCATGCAATGTGGTTAAGGGACCCACAATTAATTGATTATTTTATTTTGCATGATTGTTTATATTCACCTTATTTATTGTATGAATGCTTTTATTTTCAGATTTATCATGACTAGTCCATTCAGTCCACTTGCAAACATACTAAAAGAAAATCAATTAACTGGACCTAATTATATCGATTGGAAAAGGCAACTAGATATTGTACTCACATATGAGGGGTTTAATTTTGTGCTCACTATTCCCCAACCTTCTCCACCTTTGCCTAAGGATACTCCTGAGGAGTATGAAGTTTGTAAGAAATGGAATAAAGCAGATGAGATGACCAGGTGCTACATTCTTGCTTCACTCTTGAATGTACTCAAAGTCAACATCTTCATTATCTCACTTCTACAGACATCATGCTTAGCTTTAAGGAAATGTTTAGGCAAGTTGGTAAGAGTGCACGCCAAACTGCTATGACAAACTTGATGACCACCAAGATGGTCCAAGGTACTCCAGTTCGGGATCATGCTTTAAAAATGATTGGTTTTCTAAATGAACTTGAGGTCCTTGGATGCAACTTAGATGGTGAACTTCAGGTTAACATGATTATCACTTCATTGCCAGACTCATTCAACTCTTTTAGGGTTAATTATTCTATGAACAAGCTTGAGTACTCACTCGTTGAACTTCTGAATGAGTTGGTAACCTTTGAAGGGATAATCAAAAGTAAGGGTGCATCTATCAACTACACTCAGTCTGCTGGACCATCCACTTCTAGGCCCAAAAGGAGGGGCAAAAAGAAGAAGAATGATGGTGCCCAAACTGTGCTTGTGCCAAACGAAGTGATCCAAAAGGATAAAGGAAAGAAGAAAGTGCGGGTTGAAGGCGAAGGAAACTGTTTCCATTGCGGTCAACCAGGTCACTGGAAACCTAACTGCCCAACACTTCACACGCAAGGCAAAGGAAAAAGGTATATTCATTATTGAGGCATGTAATGTGGTTGAATCTATAGATTCCTGGTGCATAGATTCTGGAGCCACTAATCATATTTGTAATTCATTGCAGGGATTCCAAGAGTCCAAAAGTCTCAATAAAGGAGAGATATACTTGGATATGGGATCTAATGCCAAGGTGGAAGCTAAAGCAGTGGGAGTGGTTTATATATAGTTTAATAGTGGGAGGAGTCTTATTTTAGAAAATTGTCTTTATGCACCAAATGTTAGGCGCAATTTAATTTCAGTTTCTTCGTTGGTTTGTAAAAACTATATTTTTACTTTTGGGAAAAATGTTTTAATTAAATTGAATGGTTGTGTTATAACTTCTGGTGCATTGAAAGATAGTCTATACATTTTAACTCCTAGCTCATATCAAATGCAAAATTATAAATTAAAAACTTCATCTAGATTTAATGTTAAAAGAAAAACAGTTTCTCCAAACTCATTGTATCATTGGCATCTACGATTGGGTCACATCAATCAAAATAGGATTCAAAGGTTGGTTAAAGAAGGTTTATTACTTGGTGAGGTAGAGGAGCCTATGCCAACTTGTGAATCGTGTATTGAAGGAAAGATGACTCGAAGGGCTTTCTCAGCCAAAGGATATAGAGCCAAAGAACAATTAGAGCACAAACGTATGTGGTCCAATGACCACCCAAGCGAGAGGAGGGTTTAAGTACTTCATCACTTTTATTGATGATTATTCACGTTTTGGATATATTTACCTAATGCAACACAAATCAGAAGCTTATGAAAAATTCCGTGAGTTTCAGGCAGAAGTGGAGCGTAGATTAGGTAAACTTATCAAAACACTTCAATCTGATCGAGGAGTTGAATACCTCTTAGGGGAGTTCAAGGATCATATGGTTAATGAGGGTATTGTGTGCCAGTTATCCGCACCTGACTGCCCCAACAAAATGGAGTGGCAGAAAGGAGAAACAGAACTTTGCTTAACATGGTCAGATCTATGATGAGTTTTGCTACATTACCTCTATCATTTTGGGGATTAGCCTTAGAATCAGCGATGTACATCTTGAACTGTGTTCCACCCAAGTCTGTTTCAGGAACATCATATGAGCTGTGGTTTAGATAGAAACCTAGTTTAAATCACATGCATATATGGGGGTGTCTAGCACATGTGCGTAAGAAACAAGCAGACAAGTTGGAAGAAAGGTCAGATGCATGCTTACTTGTTGGCTATCCTAAGGGCACTAGAGGTGGATTATTTTATGATCCCAAGGACAATAAGGTTATTGTCAGCACTCATGCTGTTTACCAAGAGGAGGATTATATTATGAACCACAGACCTAGTAGCCAAATAGTGTTAGAGGAGATGGTTGGCACATCAGATATACCCCCTATGGACACACCTAATATAAATACTGAGAATGATGAGACACAAGAAGTCCATGTTGATATACCATCATCTAGTACATCGATTCCTACACCGGTCCTTCATCATAATGGGAGGACTATCATCCGACCCAACAAACTAACTCTTTTAGGTAAGGTCTATTAGGCCGTCCCCGATAAGCATGAGTCGGACCCAGTAAGCTATGCGGAAGCGTTGACCGATATAGATGCGAATCGTTAGAAAGATGTCATTAAGTCAGAGTTGGAATCTATGTATTCTAGCAAAGTCTGGGATAGTGTAGAACTTCCTAGTGGGGTTCAACCCATTAGTTGTAAGTGGATCTACAAACGAAAGAGAGGAATGGATGGGAATGTTGAGACATTCAAAGCTAGACTGATTGCCAAAGGCTTCACTCAACGTGAAGGTATTGATTATGAGGATACATTCTCACCAGTTGCAATGCTTAAATCTATTCACATTCTTTTAGCCATTAGTGCTCATTATGACTATGAGATATAGCAGTTAGATGTTAAGACGGCATTTTTAAATGACCGTCTTGAACAAGACATCTACATGAGGCAACCGGACGGTTTCGTAGTAAAAGGTCGTGAGGGCTGTGTGTGTAAGTTGAATAGGTCTATTTATGGACTTAAGCAAGCTTCACGCACATGGAACATCTTTTTTGATCAGGTAGTTAAATTATTTGGCTTTGAACAAAACGTGTTTGAATCTTGCGTTTACAAAAAAAAATAAGGTAATGTCATCATGATTCTCGTTTTATATGTTGATGACATCTTACTCATTGGTAATGATGTAGAGGCTTTGTCATCAGTTAAAAGGTGGTTGTTCAATAAATTTGAGATAAAATATCTTGGAGAAGCAAGCTATATTCTTGGGATCAAGATTTTGTGAGATCGGGTTAAAAAGAAAATAGGCTTGTCTCAAGAGTTTGACATTGATAAAGTTCTGACCAGGTTTGGAATGGAAAACTCTAAGAAAGGGTTTTTACCATTTAGACATGGATTGGCTCTTTCCAATGACCAGTCTCCCAAGACTGATAAAAAAATTGATCAAATGAGGCGGATACCATATGCTTTGGCTGTTGGTAGTCTCATGAATGCCATGGTCTGTACCAGACCTAACATCTGCTACTCTCTAGGGATTGTTAGTAGATATCAGTCCAATCCTGGACTTGATCATTGGTCAGCTGTGAAGAATATCTTAAAATACCTTAGAAGAACTAAGAGTTTCATGCTTGTTTATGGAGGTGATGATCTGGTTCTAATCAGATATACGGATTCTGATTTGCAATCGGATCCAGATGCTAGGAGATCTACATCTGGATATGTGTTCAAACTCAATAGAGGGGCAGTTAGTTGGAAGAGTGTAAAGCAGGGTTATACAACTGACTCAACTATGGAAGCAGAATACATTGCAGCCTCTGAGGCTGCAAAAGAAGCTGTTTGGTTGAGAAACTTTCTAATTGAACTGGAGGTTGTGGAGCATATAGATCGGCCTATGACCCTTCATTACGACAATAGTGCAGCTATAGCCCAAACCAAAGACCCAAAATTTTATAAAAGAACAAGAAACATTCAGAGGAAACATAATGTGGTTCATGATATAGTAAAGCGAGGAGATATACTTATGGCTAAGATTGCATCGAAACATAACCTTGCTAATCCATTCACAAAGGCTTTATCAATCAAAATGTTTGATCGTCATATGGAAAACATGGGAGTTAGATGTGATTCGAATTGTCTATAAGTGCAAGTGGGAGCTGTTGGGATATGTGTGCCCTAGCATAACAAATTCTTATTTGGATTACAAAAGTCATGGTTCCTTATCTAAATATTATTATTAAGGCATTATACAATTAGTGAATGGAATGTATTATTTTTTCAATTCATTATGGAATTGATTGTGTCCACTTCATTACAAGATATATTTATATATATATGTAATGGCAATTAATACTAAGTTATAAATTAGTAATCATAAATGGTTCAAAGTATGTAATTATGGATGGACATTTAATTAATTAAGACTTGAATCGAGTCCATGATAGGTTGAGATATATTGCGAGAGCCGTTGTATGCAATTGTTCTATCACAATCATGGCTTTTGACTATCAAGCATGAGAGAAGTATAGACTCTTTTATTAATTAATAGTTACTTTGATTTGTTCGGCTGATACATCGGAATCTTTAGATCGACACTTTGGATAGTTATGTAATTAATAGTTAGAGGGTTATATTCTCAATATTTGCATCAGTGCTACTTGTATTTATTTTGCATTGATTATGGTTGATCAAAAATTAAATTTGAAGGCCTTCGTATATTTTAGACAAAATGTTTTCTATATATTTATTTAGTAAATTATTATTTTTGTCAAACAAATATTTTATTGTGACCAAGCTGGAAATAATCAAAGGTAACAAAATAATTATATTAATTATGGTGTTGAATTGATGGCTTTATTATCCGATAAATAATTATGCATAGAGGGGTCAAAGTGCAACATTAACTTAGAGGTTATTTACTATTTAATTGGAGTGCAATTAATTTCTTTTTGTGGAGTAGAAATTAATTTATGAATTAATTGAATTGGGTCCATGATTTAATGGACCAGACCAATTATTAATTTATAGTAGCCAAGAAAATAGTAAGTCAAAAGGATTCTCACCTATAGCCCAAGTTGATATTCGAGTCCTATTAGAATTGAAATATTTGAATTAGAGATGGAGAAGGATTTATTATTTTCTTATCTTATCTTTATTTTGCCTGTATATACATGGGTCCATGTATATTTTAGGGGTGACTTTTAGAAGAAGATAAAGAAATATATTTTTTCTCTCTAGTTTTTAGGGTTTGTTATATCTTCTAAAGGAGGCTACCACAAGCCTTGACTCAAAGGTCATTCTTCGAGGCATATTGGTAATTCCTAAAGGGAAGATTATCATCAAGATGAAGGAGAAAGGATCTTGCTAAGGGATCTACAATAAGTGAGAACATTCACTTTAGAGGAAAGATTAAAAGGTTTACTTAGACCTTTAATGTAAGTATTCAATCTATTAATTGAATGATACATCATATTTTTATTTTTGCATAAAACTTGTCTCTATGTGATAAATCAAGATCTATGTATGAAAATCCCTCAAAAAGTTTTTAAAACTTGCACGTTTCCCAACATATACTAGCTTGCTTATCAATCTATATTGCGACAATAGTGCAGAAGTAGCCCAAACCAGTGACCCAAGGCTCTATAGAGGAATAAAGTACATAGAGAGGGAGTATCATGTCCTATATGATATTGTTTAGCAAGAAAATATACTCGTGGCTGAGAACATTGCATCGGGACACAACTTTATTAATCCATTAACAAAGGTGTAATTGATCAATAGTTTTGATTGTCACCTGAATAACATAGGAGTTAGATGCGATTCGAATTAGCTATGAGGGCAAGTGGGAGTTGTTGGGATTTGTATGCCCTAGCATAGTGAATTCCTATTTGGATTAAAGTGACATATGTTCCTAATATGTCTGAAGTATTTATACTTTATACAATGGGTAAATTCAATGTATTATGTTTCGATTCATTATGGAATCGATAGTATCTACTTGATTACAAGAGATATTTATATGTATGTGATGGTAATCAATACATGAACATAAATAGTAATTATAAATAGTTCATAGTCGGTAATTATGGATATACTCTTAATTAACTAAGACTTGAACCGGATCCATGTTAGGTTGAGATATATTGCGAGAGCCATCGTATGTAATTGCTCCCTATCACTGTCATAGCATTTGATTCTTAAGCATGAAATAAATATAAACTCTTCTATTAATTAGTAATTACTTTAATTTTTTCGGCGAATTCTTCGGAATCCAAAGACTGGCACTTTGGGTAATTATGTAATTAATAGTTAGAGGGTAATATTTTCAATATTTGCATCATTGCTACTTATATTTATTTTGTATTGATTATGATTGATCACAAAGTAAATTTGAAGGCCTTCGTATGTTTTAGACAAAATGATTTTCTGTATATTTATTTATTTATTTAAATTATTACTTTTGTCAAACAAATGTTTTATTATGATTAAGTCGGAAATAATCAAAGGTACCAAAATAAATATATTAATTTAGTAGTCGGATTGATGGCTTTATTTATCCGATAACTAATTATGCATAGAGAGGTCAAAATGCAACATTGACTTAGAGGTTATTTATTATTTAATTGAAGTTCAATTAATTTCTTTTAGTGGAATAAAAATTAATTTATGAATTAATTAAATTGGGTTCACGGTTTAATGGACCAGGCTAATTATTAATTCATTGTAGCCAAGAAAATAATAAACCCAAAGGATTCTCACTTATAATCCAACTTGATGTTGAAGGCCCATTAGATTTGCGATATCACGTGAATTTTATAGATTGAGAAAAATATATTGTCTTGAATTATTATTTTTATTTTGCCTATATATACATGGGGTCCATATATATTTTAGGTTACTCCTTTTGTGCATTAATTTTGGAAGACAAGAAAAGATTTTCTCTCTCTGAGATTTTAGGGTTAGTGTTCTCATCTCATGGAGGCTCCCACAAGCTAAGCTCTCCAAGGTTGTTCGTGGAGGTTTAAGGGTGATTCCAAAAGACAAGATCATTACAAACAAGATGGAGATCCAAGGAAGAGACATCTAGCAAAGGGATCTACAATAAGTGAGAACATTCACTTTAGATGAGATAATTAAGGTTTACTCAAACCTTGATGTAAGTTTTCTATTTCTAATTGAATGGATCATCTTATTTTATGTGCATAAAACTTGTCTCTACACATGAATCAAGATCTTTATTTGAAAACTTTTAAAACTTTCATTTCCCCGATAAATTGATACCTAAGGTTTTATATATGTTGAAGTACTTGTTAAATTGTTGGATTATATGTGGTTACTTGGTTGTTTTAATGTATAAGTTGTGAATATCATGCCATCAATTATGTTAATGTGTTGATAGTATGCAAGTTGTTTACATTGCCTCCTTATATGTTATAGCTATCAATCTAGCCTTGTTATGAGCATAAATTGTCCACAAAATTGAGATCGCATGTCATTGAGTTGAATGGTTGTGCATAGCCCATTTCATCCACATGGCATTGATGACATTCTTACAAACATTTGAAGTGGGTGTGTTGAGACATGTGTATAGAATGTGGAGGGGTGAAATGTGAATTTGGGAAGTTTTAAGAAAAAAGTTTTCTCAAACCAGGCCTTGGGGGAGGTACCCCTTTGTCGGTGGTACTAATTAGTTAATAGGGCACGGGGAATATCCGTGAGTAATTTAGAGACTCGAGCCCCAAATAGTGTTTAGGAGGTACCCTTAACCAGGGATAATGGTAAATTCCCCTAGTGTCGGTGGGAGGTACCTAAAGTCCGACCAATTAGTATATTTTCCGTGTGGGTGTGTGGATATGCGAGGGTGCGTGTGTATTGTGTGGTTGCATAATGCATTCCATTGCTTGAAATTGATGAAAATGATCCTTAATGTTTTGAATGGCGTTATGAAACCCTTAGCATGATCCCGTTATCCTATATCTATTCTTTTGTGTAAAGTATGTGATTGATTACTTTGGTTGAGGAGATATCACTAAGGCAATCTCTACTGAGCCATTGTGCTCATTCCTCTGCTAATATTTTCAGGAAACAGAAAAAAAGTAATGAATGACCCACAACCCCATCCTTGAAGCATTTGAGGATTCCTTTTGCTAACTAGTTGATTCAAATACATTTCAAAAGACTAGTAATTCAAAAGATGGACTAGAAATCACAATGTGACCACCAAGGATAAATGATTGGTCCCAAGGTCATTTCTATCCTCAAAATACATGTAATTGATCACCAAGTACACTACTTCTCAAAATAGTACATCGTTGAGTTACAAAATATAAATTATATATTTATATATATATATATATATATATATATATATATATATATAAATTACATGCTTCAAAATAGACTAATCAACTAATTATTATGGCATTTTGTAACTCAACGATGTACTATTTTGAGAAGTAGTGTACTTGGTGATCAATTACATGTATTTTGAGGATAGAAATGACTTGGGACCAATCATTTATCCTTGGTGGTCACATTGTGATTTCTAGCCCATCTTTTGAATTACTAGTCTTTTGAAATGTATTTGAATTATGTTGATGTATGAATGATTAATTAATCTTCTATGATGTATGGATGAGATTTTTTTGTCTTTTTCAATCGAATGAATGCTTTGGTACAGGTTTAAGACCATATTTGAGTCACCATAGATGCTTTGGTTGTGCCCAATGCCAAAATCACTCAATCAAGACCATTTTTAACACTCCTAGATGCCACCAGTCGGCTGGCACACTCCACTAGCCAACCGATGGCTAAAACAAACTGATTGCACCCTGAAACATCATTTTAGCTGGCTGACCATCATTATTAGCCAGCTGACACATGGTTTCAGTGACTGAAACTACCCAGTTTACCAGCTTTCATGGCCCGATTTCAAATTATTATATTTCCTTCATTTGAACTCCAAATTGGGTCAAATTTGAGTCCAATTTCAAGGATTATGAGTCATCTTTCTAATGGTACCAATTGCATCCAAACATTCCAACCATAGAGGAAGTTATTACTATTTTAGTACATATTGCTCCGAAAATCTTCTATACCAAAAGGACTAATTGTGTGAAAACATTATTCTTGCATCTAGAATCT